GTGTGTGTTCACTGCTGTGTGTGTGCACTTTGGATGGGTAAATGCAGAGCACTAATTCCGAGTATGGGTCACCATACTTGGCCACATGTCACTTTCACGTCACTTCACGTCAACCACTTAGCAACAGCCCAACAACCACTTAACGACACAGTAAAAACCACTTGGATTGGATCCAATTGGTGTTTTAAATAAATGTATTTCTTGCGTAACGCTTTATAATGTAAAATCATTAGCTAATGCATTAGGGACAGTATCATGAACTAGGATAAACATCAGCTTTTTTATTGTTAATTCATATTTGTTAATGTACAACTATATATACAACATTTATACAACTTGAAATGTATTAGTATATGTAATTAACCAATAATGATAAATTGGTTACACTTTATTTTAAGGTGTCCTTGTTACAGTGTAATTATTCATATAGGTACTGAGTAATATTAATAAACTACATGTACTTACTATATGGTTATGGTTAGGATTTAGGTTTAGTTTAGGGTTACTTGCATGTAATTATGCATAATTCATTGTTATTATAATAGTAAGTACATGTGGACACCTTAAAATAAAGTGTTACAGATAAATTCTAGTTCACGGTACCTAACACATGAACTAATGTTAAAACACTTAACAAATTTATTAACTTCTGACCCTAAAAATAAATATTTATTGGGTAACACTGTATAATAAACATCAAATTTTTACAGCATTTGTTAATGTAGGTTCATGTTAATTTACAATATTGTCTAATCTAAAGTAACTGATTTTAATATCAAGTTCACCAAAATAAAGATAGAAAATTATCATCATTTACTCACTTTAATGACGTTCCAAACATTTATGACTAACTGACTTCTGTGGAATGCAAAAATAATGTTTTGAACAACGCAACACCAATGTTGTTTTGGCCTCCATTGACTTTCATTATGGACAAAAACAGTTCTTCAATAGTCATATAGGTCATATAGGTTTGGAATGACATTCATTATTCTTGAATTGTCATTTTTGGGTGAACTATTCCTTTTAAACTCTCAATGGCAATGACTCAGTTTCTGGCAACAGAATATCAACAACAACAATAAAAACCTCATGAATTAAAATGTGGTAGTAAACAGTGACAGGAACAGCTAATTATCTTTAAATCCTTCTTGTCCTTGTTCATGGGAGACAGCACATAATGCATCTCTGTGGAAAATCACAGGTAAATTGCAGGGCTTGCTTTTATCAGAATAGTGTTTTGTCGAGGACCTCTCACTGACGCATGTTTATGCTGTTTGGTGTGTGTGTTTCGAGTCTGGATTCACCTCATTTGTTGGTACACCACAGTGACGTGCATTAGACACCATTACAGATGTGTTGGTAATGTCTTGGTTTTACTGAAACATCTCTTGGTCAACTTGTGGTCGACCAATATGGTCTTTTTAATGGCAGATGACCAATATAATTAGACATACAGTTTATAATGTAGACAAAAATCTGACACCACATTAAAACATTTTTTAAAATGTAACAGAGTAAACCTAGTATTAAACTAAATATGTTAAATATGAAGTACTAAGAAATTATGAAGTTAATATTTGTTTTTAAATCTATATTTCATTCAAATAGTTTTACTCTAGAATTTATGATTTTTTTTTTGCACACTTTTTTGAGTACCCTCATACATTTGGAACCTACTGTATATGATGCAATTCAATGATAGTATAAATGATGAAAGTGAAAGTTTATATTACTGAATTCAAGTGACCACTACATTTATTTAAAATTCACTTCACTGACTAGACTGTAGATGTTGGAAGTTACACTTAGTGGTTACTGGCCGGTTAAATTGTTAAACTGTTAAACATGACGCTAACCATGAATTTGATTGCTGCAAATTTGTACATACAACCTAGGTAATAGGATTGAACATTAGCACACTTTTTTCACCTTGCTGTCGTGAAAAACTTTTATTTATCCTACTATCAACATATTAAGAAGATACATGTGTTGTTTTTCTTTTAAATCTAGCCAATGGAATGCCAAGGGCCTGATAGAAATGCTACTGAAAATATGGCGTCAGCTGATTACAGGTATTTAAACCCTCTAAATGCATTATGTGCAATTCTATGTATGTTGGGAAGTAGAATGAACTTAAATGGGTTGCACTCAAAACTTTCTTCCTAGTCCACAAAGACCATCTGTTGAAACTAGCTTGTAAAACAGAGCTTTGACATCAGAAATCTGAAAACATCACAATATGATTGCCCACATTTACAGTGCAATGATGCTTATTTAGTGGTCATAAATTATGGAGGAAGTAGAACAGATATGTTATTCCTAAACTCCAGAAGAATGAACATAAGAGTAAGTCTGTGAAGGTCAAATCTTGAGCTGTTTCTGGTTGTGTTGCACTCAAAACTTTCTTCCTAGTCCAAAAAGACCATCTGTTGAAACTAGCTTGTAAAACAGAGCTTTGACATCAGAAATCTGAAAACATTACAATATGATTGCCCACATTTACAGTGCAATGATGCTTATTTAGTGGTCATAAATTATGGAGGAAGTAGAACAGATATGTTATTCCTAAACTCCAGAAGAATGAACATAAGAGTAAGTCTGTGAAGGTCAAATCTTGAGCTGTTTCTGGTTGTGTAGCACCTACTGCTCTGCACTCTGTATTCTTCTGAAGGATCTCAGCATTTGAAACAATGTTAAAAAAGAATATCCCTTTCAGCCTGATCTTAACAGTTTGAGAAGTGCATATTTAGTGTAAATTCTTTTACTAATTCACTAATGAATTAATTTCTTTTTAGAGGGAAGCATCAAAAGGACTATGGCTTTCATTCTATTCAGGTGAGATCAGTTCAGTTTCACATTTTCTGCCCTCATCTTATTTTTCTTTCCTACTTTGTATATCTTGTATTCTGTTCTTACATTTGTGACCCTGGACCACAAAACCAGTCATAAGGGTTTTATAAATAAGAGATTTCAGACATCATCTGAAAGCGGAATAAATAAGCTTTCCATTGATGTATGGTTTGTTAGGATAGGACAATATTTGGCCGAGATACAACTATTTGAAAATGGGTGCAAAAAAATCAAAATACTGAGAAAATCGCCTTTAAAGTTGTCCAAATTAAGATCTTAGCAATGCATATTACTAATCAAAAATTAAGTTTTAATATATTTACGGTAGGAAATTTACAAAATATCTTAATGGAACATGATCTTTAGTAAATAAATGTTCTTTATTGGCATTGATGGTTCTATGAAGAACCTTTAAATATCCATGGAACCTTGCCATTCCACTAAAATTTCATATAGTGGAAAAAGGTTCTTTAGATTATTAAAATGTCCTTAACACTAAAAAAACAAAACAATGGTTCTTATAAGAACTGATCAGTGAAAGGTTCTATGGCATTACCGAACCTTTATGTTTAAGAGTGCAGTTGTTTTAAAACTAACAAACATCTTGAAATATAATATTTCCCTTAAAGTGTGCTTGTGCTATTCTTTAAAATGACTGTCGCTTAGTTTGTTTAACTGGTGCAATGACATTCATACATTTCTGAGAGTGACTCAAGCATCCAAATACTTAGAGAGTCAATGAAAGAGTTGATATAGTTTGAACATCCTGTGTTGAAATGTTTCTGTATTTACGGTTCAGTCTGTAAAATGATCCAGTCTAAATATGGAGATCAAACAATTCAGTTTCCTTTCTCTTTGTCCTCCAAAGACGTTGGTAAGGTTCTCTTAAAAACATAGAGTTTATTTTGAACAAGGAATATTGGTTTTGCTAAGCCCAGCTTGATCCGCGGTCATTGTGATGTTACACACATGTTGAATCAGTGTGTCACTGCATATCATGCGTGAGATCTCACTCCTTCATGCGCTCTAACAGTCAGAACATGTTGTACCCAGCTGCGACACGTACGCAGTGCATTGTGGTATAGGAGCTTCTCATGTGGTTGATAGTGGCAGCTGATTAGAGACTACTTTTCTGTGAACGTGTTGTTGAAAGGCGCAATCCTTTACTAATATGCAGAGCTTTATCAGTTAACCACAGTGTTTATGAAAAGTAATACTAAAGCTATACTGAGAATGTCAATTCATTAATAAATTTACATTGTTTTATTTGCGATAAATGCGTAAAGTTTTCACATTTTCACTTTTAAGATGCACTCAGTAATTTTGTTCTTATTGGAAGTCTAATATAGAAAGAAATCAATAGTACTTTCGGCGAGAAAAAACATGAGATGAAGACACAAATTGCATCAGCTGCACACACAAATCATTTTTTATATTATTTTATTTTATTTTTTCATACACAACTTTTAAATGCATTATTTTCCCTCCATCTTCCTTTCAACAAAAACGTTGCTTCTCGGCTTTTCATAGCCCTCAGGTATGCCCTGAGACCAGATTACTGGTATTTTGGCATCTCTGGATATGATGAGATTCCTAGATTGAAATATTTATATCCATAATAACGCATATCTCATCAGTAATCAGCAATATAATCTCATCAGTTGTCACCTTGTTAATCACGACGTGAACAGGTGATGATGACTAGAAGATTATCTGATGAATTGTTTACTGTTGATTGCCCTTGATTGGAGAGATTTTAGGCAATGTTTTCTGGGCCAAACATCATGTGAAGGCTGTAAATCTGTTGAAAGCCTGTTGATCTAAGTCAACTGACTTCCACCACTCAAGTATTAAAGTCGTTTTCGTCATGGTTTCAGCAAAAGCATGCAGATGTTGTAAATACATTAGGTTTAACTTTGTATTGTAAACACATCCTCATTTGAAGTGAGCAGTTGGCCTGTGTGTGAACTGGTGTTTAGTTTTCGAGTGTGTTTTGATGAGTGTGTATTTGTGCAATGAGTCACATTTCAGGTTAAATGTTTTCTTTATTGTCTCCTTACACTGATGTGCCAAAGTCAAACAGATCTTCACACACAGGAAGTCTGGACTGTATGTTTCCCATGCAGTTCCTTATCACTTCTAATGGTACTAAACATCACATCTCTTGGCAGGCTGGCAGGGGCATTTTACACAGCCATGTGCACAAATGTAAACAGCACAAAGTCCGTTTCCCATGTTTGGATTGGACACAATATCAGCAGTGTTGCAATTATGGACCATGATGAGTACGTTATGAAAATCACATTGCCACAGTTAGCACGTCTGCAATGGCACAAGTGTGTTTCAAATCCAGTTGCATTAGTATGAGTAAGCCCTGTCTGCCGTAATAACAGTAAACGGGACTTTCAGTCATGCTGGCAGTAATGTAGGGCATGTAGTGAGGACAAAGCCCACCCTGCTCCAAAAATAGACCCCGTCCCACGCCGAAGAGCCCGGAAGTGTGTGTTTGTGCGAGTGACCGAGTTGTGCGTTTGTCTGGATTAGGTCTGTCTGTACCTGTATGGCCCCTCCTGCGTGATTGTTCAATATCGAAACAGAGGGAAGAGTTTCGGAAATGCTAAAGTGAGAAATCGGGAAGGCTTTTCTGCCTGCGTGCTCTGCATGTTCCCTCTCTCTCTAGGACACACAGCTGAAAGGGAGGGGTGAAGAGAGAGAGAGAAAATAACATAAAATTAGCCACACTTTGAGCAGGGCAGGCAGCCAATCAGCACGCAGAGGTTTGTCCCGCAGTGCCGCCCCCCTGCCTCCTCCCAGCCTGTAAGTAGACGGGGGCAGGCGCAGGCAAGGGTATTGCTCAACTTAAGAAGCTCACTGCCCCCATTCTGGTGTAGTTGGTGTTTACCCTTCACTCTCTTCTCTGCTAGACGCCTGCCATGAAGATCCAGGAGGCTCTTAGTGGCGCAGAGCCGTGCAATGATGTCCCTCGACTTGACCTGTCTACTCTGACGGACGACAGTAACTGGGCAGGTCAGTGTTTTTTTTTACATTTTTTTTATATATTTGTTGCTCTCCGTCTCCGACAGCTGCAAGTCTGCCTTGCCCACATTGTGTCCTCATGCAGTGGATCTTATTAAGTCATTTAACAGAGGAAGAAGATTAGCAGCAGTCTGCAAGCTGTTTTCCTCCTCACGTTGTACATACGGTGTTATGTTTAGTGTAGAGAGGCTTATTTTGCATTGCAACAGCATGCTAGCGATGCATTTTTCTCTGCGTGTTTGTTGTAAATATTGAGGTTGGAGCCACAGCTTGGTGCTTCTTCAAAGCCCTGCGATGTCCCTTGAGAATTTTAACTCTGATGCCTCTGGGATTTATTGAGTTTGTACTGGATTCATCTGTGGTTCTTGCAGTTGCATGTGTTTTTTTCTCTCCCCACACTTCCCCTTTGGCTATAATCCTGTGTTTATAAACACTAGACAGGCTATTGATTGCATATTTGTGCTTTTTTGTTTATTCTTCATATTCTTTTATATAAAAGTTATTCAATTTTAATGTATAAGGATTATTT